TTCCAAACATTCTATAGTCCGTAATCTCATGATAAAACTACTAGAGGAAGACCGCCAGCCATCAAAAGGTGCTTGGAGAACTCAGGGCCAAGAACTAAAAGTAAATATTAAGTGTCCTTAACTGCAAGACTAAGACAGAAATGACTGTGGGGGACTGTGTGACCTCAACAGAGGTGAAATGGTGTCTGCCTGACAAAGTGGACATTTTACAATGATCAAAACACAGAATATGAGATAGCACTTCTGAATTACTGCCCCACTCCAAATAACTCTCATCCAAAGGACATCAGTAAAATCAAATCTGGCATATTAGACAGTACAAACAAATTTTAAGAAAATAATATTACTGACTACAATCATATGATGCTAGAGATGGAGGAGAAAAGGAAGAGGAAACCAGGTAATTTCATACCTGTATATGGTAAAGAACTAAAGTATACTATCCAAAGAAGAACAAAGAATATTTTGGAAAGTTATAAAGGTAGCCACTACACGTAGAAGCTATCAAAGAATAAGAAAACTTAACATGGAAAACTTTTGAAAGTATAAAAATAGAGAACATAAACTACTAAGATTGAAGCCAAACAGATCTATGAAAACAACAAACGTGAATGGTCTTAACTTGCCTATTAAAAGGAAGAGACATTCAAATTGGACCCCAAGATTATTACACATAAAATAGGGAAAGCTGAAAAAACTTGGGCAAAATTCACCCCAAGCAAATTCCACTGTTTCCTCTGGGACAAAATGTCAAGCTCCATGCCAGGGAAGATGATTCTCCTCAGACCTTCTCCTCACTCTCCCAGTCCTCTTAGAGAAGGAATTGGGTGGCAGTGGAGGGAAACTGTAGATTCACCAGCTGTAGCAGCGGTGTGCTCCTGCATTGCTTCTGACCTGGGAAATGAAACAGCAAGACTTTTTCCGCTGTGGCTTTACCCGGAAGGGCCTTCCTCCCAGAGCAGAGTGCCGGGCTGGAGGAGCAGCAGTGGAAGCGTGGAAACCACATCTCTAGCAGCAGAGACCATCAGAAGCAGAGCCTCGGATATAAAGGATACAACGCGCTCTCCCCAGCCTGGGAGTGACAGAATGCGTCATCCCTCACAGTGATACCCCTGTGTTCCAGCCATCTGGCCCACCACAGAGCCAGCCCAGAGCCAGCCCCTCGCCAACCTGGAGCCTGGCCAGCTCGCCAAGCTGCACCGTAGGCCTGGAAGGCATGGAGACCTGCTGCAGTGCCCTGTCCTCCAGTGAGGCCTGCCATCCCTGCCAAGGGTCGCCGCTGGCTTCTCCTTCTCCAGGATGGCACAGTCCAGAGACTCAGTGCCCAGAGTAGGTGTTGCCCCCCTGCTTCTGGGCCCAGACCCTCCCTTGTTGCTGACCCCTGGCCTTTCCCTCTGGCTTGGATGTCCAGGACCCTGTCACAGCCGGGGAGCTGCTCCTGCTCAAGGACTTTCTTCAGCAGGATCGAAAGGCTATGTCCTGAACAATGCATGGGCCACGTGAGCAGAGCAGGATCAAAAGGCTGCATCCTAAACAGTGCATGGGCCATGTGAGCAGAGTGCCCTCTCCACTGCCCTTGGGGCTGCAGCTCTCAGCTCAGCTCCCAGCCCTGCTCAGGGCAGCCAGGCCAGGAAGTGCCATCCAGGCTAAGTGACCCTGAGGGGGGACAGGTACCCCAGGAGATGCCAGCTGTGGGCAGAGACTGGGGGCCAACTCGACCTGGCCTGTGGGCCCTGCCCTGGCCACCCATTGCACAATCCAGCCACCATGTCTGTGACACTCGTGTGCTTTCCCTGGTGTGTCCTTGTGGCAGGTGGGGGCAGAGGGTGTGCTCCCAGGACTCAGCCACAGGGTGCTGTGGAAGGAGCTGGGCCCAGACACCTGCAAAGCTATGGGCATGGGGGTCTCTGGCCCCTCCACAGATCTGCACACAGGGACCATATACAGGGGCCTCATGTGCCTGCGCGTCTGCTGGAGCTGAACGGGCCTCTGAAGTGTGTGAAAAGGCAGGGCCAGGGCAGGGCTGGATGCGGGCAAGGGCTGGAGCCAGTGCTTCTGGAGGGACCTGGAAACCCCACCCCTCACCCCTGCAAAGGATGCAGGAGGCCCCAGAGCTGAGACCATCAGAGGAAGAGCCTTGGGAAAGGGTCTAGGGGCTCAAGGAGTCCTACCACGAACTGTGAGCCCAAGTGAGTCTCAAAGGGCAGCTCAGAACCCCACTGCTTCCTCAGACAGCAGGACCCCAGTGCAGGAGGAGAGGGAAGGCCAGGCCCTCCCTCCCCCAGCCCAAGGATCCAGAGGCCCAGGCATGGGGGCGTGAGGCACAGCCCACCCTCAGCCTGCTCCCCTGACCCTTGACCCTGCCTGCGCCCCCCAGGGCCAGAAGTCCTAAGCCAGAGAACCACTCCCCCAGCGCCAGACCACCCTCCTCCTCACTCCCCGACCTTGCCCCCTCACAGGTGCCTCCCTGGCCATCAGGGCCCAACCACCCCTAATCAAATGGGTTCTCAGCCCCTCATGGCTAGAGACGGGTTATCTCACCATTCCCAGCCTAAGACTCCGTCCCCATGCTGGCAACTGTTCAACCATGTCTAGAGAGATCCACTGCCCCAGACAGTACCTCAGAGTCCCCCGTCCTGCCTGGACCCCTGTAGGAAACCCCACAAACCACTGCCATTCTGTCCACACCCCTACAGGAACCCCAACCCTCTCCCCACATCCAGGCTTCCCTCCCAGACCCCTCATTCCTGCCCGCACGGTGACTGAGCGAGTCTTCTTGAGCAGCCTCTAAGCAAGCCCCCAGCACCCTTCAGCCCCTTCAAGGCACTCAGGCCCCCTTTCCACCCCGCCTCAGCAAACCACCTGCGACCTCCAATGACAGGTCCCAGCCTCCCAGCCTTTACCTTGCCTATTCCTCTCCCTGGAACTCTGCCCCGACATAGATCCTCCCCAGCAAGCCTGCAGGGGCAACTCCCCTCCCCCAGACACCCTGTGCCCATCAGTTCACCCCAGCAGAGGCCCTCGCCGGACACACCCCCATGCTCACACCTGGCCGCGGGCCTCGGCCTCCCCGAGGGCCCCACCCAGCCCGCGTCTGGCCAGTGGTGCCTGCAAAGCCCCTCACCCAGACTCCGCGGAAGGCAGCCAGTGCGGGCCTGGGGAGGGGCTCCCTGTAGACCACCTTGCACCTTCCCTGGCACCTGCCATGGGAAGAGCTGAGACCTCATTGAGGACCAGCTGAGGCGCAGGGAAGGGACCTAACACTGGTGGACACACAGGGAGCCCACGCCAGGGCTCTGTGGTGAGTGAGACCCAGCGCCACCCGCTGAGGCCTCCCGTTCAGTGGAACATCGGTGAATAGGTGGAACCAGCCAGGCAACCCACACCGGGCCCCACAGACGGGATCAGAGCAGGAAAGGCTCCCTGCCCCTGCGGGCCAGCGAGGAGCCCTCGGGGGGGCCGTGGCCCTGCAGGCCAGGAGGCTCCCCCAGCCACTGCCACCCGGGTCTCTCTGCAGCTGGGAAAACAACTCAGAAAGCAAGCAATGAGAGGTGGCGTGACTGACCCAGCTTCAGATCTGCTCTAATTTACATGAGAAAAAGAAAAACACAATCGGCAGCCTTCAGCACTCTAATGATTCTCAACGGCAGCAAATGACTGGCACGAGACTCAAGAGGGACTGGCAGGGTTGAGGGCTGGGGTCTCCCGCATGTTCTGGGGCTAACAGCGGAAGGGAGAGCACTGCCAAAGGTGCTGGGGGCCCCTGGACCCGACCCACCCTGGGGACCGCAGCCAGACCAGCCCCAGGCCCCGCGGGCCCCCTACCAGCCGCAGGGTTTTGGCTGAGCTGGGAACCACTGTGCTAACTGGGGACACAGTGATAGGAAGCTCTGCAAAAACCATGCCCTCCAGGGACCCCGGCTGTGGGTTTCTGCAGCCCCTGGCTCAGGGCTGACTCACTGTGGCTGAATACTTCGAGTTCTGGGGCCAGGGCGCCCTGGTCACCGTCTCCTCCGGTGAGTCTGCTGTCTGGGGATAGTGGGGAGCCAGGTGTACTGGGCCAGGCAAGGGCTTTGGCCTCAGACTTGGGGACAGGTGCTCAGCAAAGGAGGCTGGCAGGAGGGCGGAGGGTGTGTTTTTGTATGGGAGAAGCAGGAGGGCAGAGGCTGTGCTACTGGTACTTCGATCTCTGGGGCCCTGGCACCCCAATCACCATCTCCTCAGGTGAGTCCCCCGGCAGCCCCCTCCCAGTCTTCTCTGTCCAGGCACCAGGCCAGGTCTCTGGGGTCTGCAGCTGGTCTGGGTCTGGCCTGAGGCCACACCAGCTGCCATCCCTGGGATCTCTGCCATGGGCTGCATGCCAGAGCCCTGCTGTCACTTAGCCCTGGGGCCAGCTAGAGCCCCCAAGGACAGTCAGGGACCCCGCTGGGCTTCAGCCCCATCAGGGACCCTCCACAGATGGCAAGCAGGCCGAGGGCAGGGATGGGAAGGAGAAGTTGTGGGCAGAGCTGGGGCCAGGGCTGGGAACATCACCCCTCCCAGCCTGGGTCTCAGCCTGGTGATCTGTGTGACTGGGGACAGGGACACCGGCTGCCTCTGCTCTGTGCTTGGGCCATGTGAGCCATTCGAGTGTCCCGCATGGGGACGGGTTTGTGTCTGGGCAGGAACAGGGACTGTGTCCCTGTGTGATGCTTTTGATTTCTGGGGCCAAGGGCTCAGGGTCACCGTCTCTTCAGGTAAGATGGCTTTCTTTCTGCCTCCTTGCTCTGGGTCCAGCGTCCTCTGTCCTGGAGCTGGGAGATAATGTCCAGTGGCTCCTTGGTCTGTGCAGGGCCACGTTCAGCAGAAGGCCTTTCTTTGGGAATCGGGACTCTGCTCCTGGGACAAAGGGTGGGCAGAGTCATGCTTGTGCTGGGGACAGAATGACCTTGGGACACGGGGCTGGCTGCCACAGCTGGCCCAGGACAGTCGGAGAGTAGGGTTTTTGTGCACCCCTTAACGGGGCCTCCCACAATGTGACTACTTTGACTACTGGGGCCAGGGAGTCCTGGTCACCGTCTCCTCAGGTGAGTCCTCACAACCTCTCTCCTGCTTTAACTCTGAGGGGTTTTGCTGCATTTTTGGGGGAAAACAAGTGTGCCTGGGTCTCCTGCCAAGAAAGCCCTGGAGCAGCCGGGGGGGCTCAGGAGGACGCCCTGAGGCGACAGCGGCCACACAGACAAGGGGCAAGGGCTCCAGACGCTCCCTCCTCCTGAGCCCAGCAGCAGGGGTCTCTCTGTGGTCAGGGCCACCCTGGGCCTCTGGGGTCCCTTAGCCCAACAACCCCCGGGCCCTCCATGGGCTCTGTCTGAGAGGGTCCCAGGGACTTAGCGGGTGCCAGTTCTTGCCTGGGGTCCTGGCATTGTTGTCACAATGTGACAACTGGTTCGATGTCTGGGGCCCGGGAGTCCTGGTCACCGTCTCCTCAGGTGAGTCCTCACAACCTCTCTCCTGCTTTAACTCTGAGGGGTTTTGCTGCATTTTTGGGGGAAAACAAGTGTGCCTGGGTCTCTTGCCAAGAAAGCCCTGGAGCAGCCGGGGGGGCTCAGGAGGACGCCCTGAGGCGACAGCGGCCACACAGACAAGGGGCAAGGGCTCCAGACGCTCCCTCCTCCTGAGCCCAGCAGCAGGGGTCTCTCTGTGGTCAGGGCCACCCTGGGCCTCTGGGGTCCCTTAGCCCAACAACCCCCGGGCCCTCCATGGGCTCTGTCTGAGAGGGTCCCAGGGACTTAGCGGGTGCCAGTTCTTGCCTGGGGTCCTGGCATTGTTGTCACAATGTGACAACTCATTGGATGTCTGGGGCCGGGGAGTTCTGGTCACCGTCTCCTCAGGTGAGTCCTCACCACCCCCTCTCCGAGTCCACTTAGGGAGACTCGGCTTGCCGGGGTCTCAGGGTCAGAGGCCTGGAGGCACTTTGGAGGTCAGGAAAGAAAGCCAGGGAGAGGGTCCCTTCAAATGGGAACCCAGCGTCTCCTCCCCAAGTCCAGCCACAGATGTCGGCAGCTGGGGGGTTCCTTTGGCTGGTCTGGGGTGACCACTCTCTGCTTCATTTGGAGCATTCTCAGGGGCTGTGGTGACGATTGTGTGGTAGGACTCTGTCCCGCTCCAAGGCACCCGCTCTCTGGGATGGGTGCCCGCCGGGGTGTTTGGACTCCTGGGGGTGACTTGTCAGCCGTCTGCTTGCAGTTGGATGTCCCAGGCCGACAGTGGTCTGGCTTCTGAGGGGTCAGGCCAGAATGTGGGGTACGTGGGAGGCCAGCGGAGGGTTCCATGAGAAGGGCAGGACAGGGACACGGACAGTCGGCTTCCATGTGACGCCTGGAGACAGAAGGTCTCTGGGTGGCTGGGAACAACGCGAGCCGGGCGCCCAGGGTTTTTGTGGGGTGAGGATGGACATTCTGCCATTGTGATTACTACGGTTTGGATTCCTGGGGCCAAGGGGTCGTCGTCACCGTCTCCTCAGGTAAGAATGGCCACTCTAGGGCCTTTGTTTTCTGCTATTGCCTGTGGGGTTTTCTGAGCATTGCAGGCTGGTCCTCGGGACATGTTCCAAGGGGACCTGGGCGGACTGGCCAGGAAGGGACGGGCACTGGGGTGCCTTGGGGATCTGGGAGCCTCTGTGGATTTTCCGATGCCTTTGGAAAATGGGACTTAGGTTGGATGTGTCTGATGGAGTAACTGAGCCTGGGGGCTTGGGGAGCCACATTTGGACGAGATGCCAGAGCAAACCAGGGGTCTTAGTGATGGCTGAGGAATGTGTCTCAGGTGCGGTGTCTGTAGGACTGCAAGATCGCTGCACACACAGCGAATCATGAAACATTTTCTTTAGAATTATGAGGTGCGCTGTGTGCCAACCTGCATCTTAAATTCTTTGTTGGCTGGAAAGAGAACTGTCAGAGTGGGTGAATCCAGCCAGGACGGATGCGTAGCCTTGGTCTTGATGAGAGCAGGGTCGGGGCACGGGTAGTCCAGAAAGGGTGGCTGCTGTCCTGACAGAGGCTTAGGGAGGCCCCAGGAGCTCAGTGCCCTGAAGTTGGTTTCCAAGAGAAAAGGATTGTTCATCTTAAGAGGCGTGCTTATTAAATGTTAAAAGACAGGATATGTTTGAAGTGGCTCCAGAGAAAAATGGTTAAGACAATTATGACTTAAAAATGTGAAAGATTTTGAAGTATATTAACTTTTTTAACTGTCCAAGTATTTGAAATTCTTATCATTTGATTAACACCCATGAGTGGTATGTCTCTGGAATTAGGGCCAAAGTAAGTTTAGCTAAGAAATACTAGCACAGTGCTGTCGGCTCTGATGCAGGACTGAGTTTTGAGCATCATAAATCAAGTTTATTTTTTTAATTAATTGAGTGAAGCTGGGAGCGGATGATGAGTTAGAGTCAAGATGGCTGCGTGGGGGTCTCGGGCACCCACGGCAGGTGGCGGGAAGCAGGTCACCGCAAGAGTTTATTTTAGGAAGCAAAAACCACGATTGGTAAATTTGTCACTTCTGGTTGTGAAGAGGTGGTTTCGCCTGGGCCCAGATCTGAAAGTGCTCCACTGAGCAAAACAACACCTGGACGATTTGCGTTTCTAAAATAAGGCAAGGCTGACCGAAACTGGAAAGGCTCTTTTTTTTTAACTATCAGAATTTCATTTCCAATCTTAGCTTATCAACTGCTAGTTTGTGCAAACAGGATATCAACTTCTAAACTGCACTCATTTTTACAGTAAGATGTTTAAGAAATTAAACAGTCTTAGGGAGAGTTTATGACTGCATTCAAAAAACTTTTAAAATTAGTCTGTTATCCCTTCATGTGATAATTAATCTCAAACACGTTTTCAATACCTCAGAGCATTATTTTTATAATAACTATGTTCACAATCTTTTTAGGTTAACTCGTTTTCTCTTTGTGATTAAGGAGAAACACTTTGATATTCTGATAGAGTGGCCTTCATTTTAGTTGTTTTTCAAGACCACTTTTCAACTACTCACTTTAGGATAAGTTTTAGGTAAAATATGCATCATTATCCTGAATTATTTCAGTTAAACATGTTAGTTTGTGGCTTAAGAGAAAACTCAGTCAGATAGTGCTGAAGACAGGACTGTGGAGACACCTTAGAAGGACAGGTTCTGTTCGGAATCACCGATTCGGCTTCAGCCAGACTGGCCTAGCGGAGGCTCTGGGAGGCTGCCTGCCAGGCCCGGGCTGGGCTTTGGGTCTCCCCGGACTACCCAGAGCTGGGATGCGTGGCTTCTGCCACCAGGCCAACTGGCTGCTCAGGACGCAGCCCTTGTTAATGGACTTGGAGGAATGATTCCATGCCAAAGCCTTGCAAGGCTCGCAGTGACTACACACCCGACATGGTAAGAGACAGGCAGCCGCCGCTGCTGCATTCGCTTCTCTTAAACCTTTGTATTTGATGTCTTATTTGCACTAGAAGGGGAATTGGTCTTTGCTTGATGAAGAGCAGGAGACTCATTCGTGTGAGTCTTTTGACTGACCATTGTCTGGGTCACTCCCATTTAACTTTCCCTAAAGCCCATTCGAAGGAGAGGTCACCCGAGCTCTTTCGCAACCTCTGAATGCGGATGGCATGAGTCATGATGCTTCAGCCCCACTGGCATCGCCCTTGTCTAAATCATTGACTTAGGTCATCGCGCCCTTGAAAGTAGCCCATGCCTTCCAAAGCGATTTGCGGTAAATGGCAGAATTTTAAGTGGCAAATTCAGATAAAATGCATTTCTTGGTTGTTTCCAATGATGACTGTTATCTAGAGGGAATTTAAAGGCAGGGGTTTATTTCAGACTCAGAAGGGAGGAGATGCTCTGAGAAGGTGGAGGCTTTGAGCATTTCAGTACCCTCCTCTCGGTGCAGAAGCTATGCTGCCGATTCTAGAGCAAGGGGAGCTCCTCATTTTTATCACAGTACAGGCTCCTAAATTCTCGGTCTAATTCTGAAGATGTTCTAATAACTTTAAAGCAGCAAAGAAATATTCCACCCAGGTAGTGGAGGGTGGTAATGATTGGTACTGCTTTGGAACCAAAACCCAGGTGGTGCTAGGGCAGGACTGCAGGAAACTGGGGTATCAAGTAGAGGGAGACAAAAGATGAAAGCCGGCCTGTGCAGGAACCTAGCAATGAGACGGCCTTAGCTGAGACAAGCAGGTCTGGTGGGCTGACCGTTTCCAGCCATGACAACTCCATCCAGCTTTCAGAAATGGCCTTGGATGGGCAAAACTGACCTAAGCTGACCTAGACTAAACAAGGCTGAACTGCGCTGAGCTGAGCTGGGTTGAGCTGAGCTGAGCTGGGCTAAGTTGCACTAGCTGAGCTAAGCTGGGCTGGGCTGCACTAAGCTGGGCTGAGCCGGGCAGGGCTGAGCTGTGCTGAGCTGGGCTGAGCTGAGCTATGCTATGCCGGGCTGACCTGGGCTGAGTTATGCTTTGCTGGGCTGGGCTGGGCTGGGCTGGGCTGGGCTGAGCTGGGCTGAGCTGAGCTGAGCTGAGCAAGGCTAGGCTGAGCTGGGCTGGGCTGGGCTGAACTGAGCTGAGCTGAGCAAGGCTAGGCTGAGCTGAGCAAGGCTAGGCTGAGCTGGGCTGGGCTAGGCTGAGCTGGGCTGGGCTGGGCTGGGCTGGGCTGGGCTGGGCTGGGCTGAGCTGAGCTGAACCAGGCTGAGCCAAGCTAGGCTGAGCCGAGCTGAGTTGAGCTTAGCTGGGCTGAGCTAACCGGGGCAGGGGCTGAGCTGGGCTGAGCTAACCTGGGCTGGGGCTGAGCTAACCTGGGCTGGGCTGAGCTGAGCTGAGCTAGGTTGGGCTGGGCTGAGCAGGCTGTGTTGGGCTGACCCAAGCTGGGCTGAGCTCATCAGAGCTGAGCCGAGCTGAGTTTAGCTGGGCTGAGCTAACCAGGGCTGGGCTGAGCTGGGCTGAGCTGAGCAGAGCTAAGCCTGCTAGAGAACTAAGAGCTAAGCTATGCTGGGCTGAACTAGGCTGAGCTATGCTTTGCTGGGCTGGGTTGGGCTGAGCTGGGCTGAGCTGAGCTGAGTTGAGCAAGGCTAGGCTAAGCTGAGCTGAGATGAGCTGAGCGGAGCTGAGCTGGGCTGGGCCGCGCTGAGATGGGCTGGGCCGCGCTGAGATGGGCTGGGCCGTGCTGAGCTGGGCTGGGCCGGGCTGAACTGGGCTGAGCCAAGCTGAACCAGGCTGGGGCTGACCGAGCTGAGCGGCGGTTGAGCTAGCTGGCTGAGCTACCGGTAGGCTGAGCTGGGCTGAGCTAACCTGGGTAAGGATGAGCTGGGCTGAGCTAACCTGGGTAGGGATGAGCTGGGCTGAGCTAACCTGGGTAGGGATGAGCTGGGCTGAGCTAACCTGGGTAGGGATGAGCTGGGCTGAGCTAACCTGGGATGAGCTGGGCTGAGCTAACCTGGGCTGGGCTGATCTGAGCTGGGCTGGGCTGGGCTGATCTGAGCTGGGCTGGGCTGGGCTGAGCTAAGCTGAGCTAGGGTGAGCTGGGCTTCGCTGGGGTCAGTCAGGTTGGATTGGGCTGAGTTGAGCTGACCTCAACTGAGCTGACCTAGGCTGAGCTGAACTGAGCTGAAGCGGGATGTGTTGGGCTGAGCTGGGATGAGCTGGGCTGGGCTGAGCTGATTTGGGCTGGGCTGAGCGGACCTGGGCTGAGCTCAGTCAAGCTAAGCTGAACCAGGATGAGCTGGGCTGGGCAGTACGGGCTGGGCTGACCTGGACCAGGCTGGGCCAGGTTGAGCTGGGCTGAGCCGAGCTGGGCTGAGCTGAGCTGGGATGATCTGGGTTGAGCTTAACTGACCTGGGCTGGGCTGGGCTGGGCTGGGCTGGGCTGAGCTGAGCTGAGCTGAGCTGAGCTGGGCTGGGCTGAGGGTGAGCTGGGCTGGGCTGGGCTGGGCTGAGCTGAGCTGGGCTGGGCTGGGCTGAGCTGGGCTGAGCTGAGCTGAGCTGAGCTGAGCTGGGGGCTGGGCTGGGCTGGCTGACTGACTGGGCTGAGCTGGCTGAGCTGACTGGCTGGGCTGAGCTGAGCTGGTGAGCTGGGCTGGGGCTGAGGGGGGGGGGGGGGGGGGGGGGGGGGGGGGGGGGGGGGGGGGGGGGGGGCTGAGCTGGGCTGGGGCTGGGGCTGGGCTGGGCTGGGCTGAGGCTGGGCTGGGCTGAGCTGGGGCTGGGCTGGGCTGAGGCTGAGCTGAGCTGAGCTGAGCTGAGCTGAGGCTGGGCTGGGGCTGACTGGCTGAGCTGGGCTGAGCTGAGCTGAGCTGAGCTGAGCTGAGCTGGGGTGAGCTGAGCTGGGCTGGGCTGGGCTGAGCTGACCTGGACTGGGCTGAGCTGAGCTGAGCTGAACTAGGCTGGGCTGAGCTGAGCTGAGGTGAGCTGAGCTGGGCTGAGCTGGGCTGAGCTGGGCTGAGTGGGGCTGGGCTGGGCTGGGCTGAGTGGGGCTGGGCTGGGCTGGGCTGAGCTGGGCTGAACTGGGCTGAGCTGAGCTGGGCTGAGCTGGGCTGGGTTGGGTTGAGCTGGGCTGGGTTGGGTTGAGCTGAGCTGAGCTGAGCTGGGTTGGGCTGTCCTGGGCTGACCTGGGCTGAGCTGAGCTGAGCTGAGCTAAACTGGGCTGTGCTGGGCTGAACTGGACTGAGCTGTGCTGTGCTGTGCTGTGCTGGGCTGGGCTGGGCTGAGCTGGGCTGAGCTGAATTGGTCCAGGCTGGGCTGAACCGAGCTGGGTTGAGCCAAACTAGGCTGAGCTGGGGTGAGCTGGGCTGAGCTGGGCTGAACTGGGCTGAACTGGACTGGGTTGAACAGAGCTGGGTTGAGCTGGGCTGGACTGGGCTGAGTTGAACCAGGCTGACCTGGGCTGAGCCGAGCTGGGTTGAGCTGAACCGGGCTGGGCTGGGCTGCGATGAGCTGAGCTGAGCTGAACTGAGCTGGGCTGAGCTGAGCTGGTCCGGGCTGGGCTGAGCTGGGCTGAGCTGGGTTGAGCCAAGTTAGGCTGGGCTGAGCTGAGCTGAACTGAGCTGGGCTGAGCTGAGCTGGTCCGGGCTGGGCTGGACTGAGCTGGGCTGAGCTGGGCTGGGTTGAGCAGAGCTGGGCTGGGCTGAGTTGAGCCAGGTTGACCTGGGCTGAGCTCAGTTGGGTTGAGCCGAGCCGGGCTGGGCTAGGCCGCGCTGAGCCAGGCTAGGTTGAGCTGAGCTGGGCTGGGCTGGGCTAAGCTACGCTGTGCTGAGCTGGGCTGAGCCGAGCTGGGTTGAGCGAGCTGGGCTGGGCTGGGTTGGGCTGAGCTGGGCTGTGCTGAGCTGGGCTGAACTGTGCTGAGCTGGGCTGTGTTGAACTGTGCTTAACTGGGCTGGGCTATACTGGGCTTAGCTGGGCTGAGCTGAGATGGTCTTAGGTGGTCTGAGCTCAGCTAGGCTGGGCTGAGCTGGTCTGAGCTCATCTGAGTTGGGTTGAGCTGAGCTTGGCTTTGCTGAGATGGGCTTGGCTGAGCTGGATTGAGCTGGCCTGGGCTGGGATGAACTGGAAGACATGGCACTGGGCCAGTCTTCATGATCTTGTCGGACACAGATGGATAGCCTCAGCTGAGTCTACACTGCGTTCCCCATCACATCCACCATCCCTATACTCACTCCCAGGCCTGGGTTGTCTGCCTGGGGAGACTTCAGGGTAGCTGGAGTGTGGCTGAGATGGGGGCAGCATAAGCTGGGTTGGAGGGACCAAGCTCTCTATTGGCTGCCTGCAGGGTGTGTGGCTCCAGGCTTCCCATTCAGGTATGCAACCTGGGCCCTCCAGCTGCATGTGCTGGGAGCTGAGTGTGTGCAGCACCTACCTGCTGCTGCCTCAGGGGAAAGCAGGCCTGGTCCACCCAAACCTGAGCCCTCAGCCATTCTGAGCAGGGAGCCAGGGGCAGGCAGGCCTCAGAGTGCAGCCAACTGAATGGTGGCAGGGGCGGCTCCACCTGCTCCAGGAGACCCCAGGTCTGCCCAGGTGTTCAGCGCTGGGCCCTGCAGCAGGACGGGCTGAGGCCTGCAGCCCCGACAGCCTTGGACAAAGACCCGAGGCCTCGCCACGGCCCCACCACCCGTTAGCCATGATAATCTGGGCTTTGGAGGCCTGCAGGTGGCCTTGGCTTTGGTGGGGCAGCCACAGTGGGACACAAGTAGAGAGGGCCACTCAGAACGCCACTCAGCCCCAACAGGCAGGGCACAAGGAGGCAGCTCCTCACCCCTCCCTTTCTCTTTTGTCCTGCGGGTCCTCAGGGAGTGCATCCGCCCCAACCCTTTTCCCCCTCGTCTCCTGTGAGAATGCCCCGTTGGATACAAACGAAGTGGCCGTTGGCTGCCTCGCACAGGACTTCCTTCCCGACTCCATCACTTTCTCCTGGAAATTCAAGAACAACTCTGACATCAGCAAAGGCGTCTGGGGCTTCCCATCAGTCCTGAGAGGGGGCAAGTACGCGGCCACCTCGCAGGTGCTGCTGGCTTCCAAGGACGTCATGCAGGGCACAGACGAACACGTGGTATGCAAAGTCCAGCACCCCAATGGCAACAAAGAACAGAACGTGCCTCTTCCAGGTGAGGGCGGGGCCCACCCACCAGGGGCAGAGAGGGAGCCAAAGGGGGCGGGAGTGGCGGGCACCGGCTGATGTGTGTCCCTCACTGCAGTGCTTGCCGAGCGGCCTCCCAACGTGAGTGTCTTCGTCCCACCCCGAGACGGCTTCGTCGGCAACCCCCGCGAGTCCAAGCTCATCTGCCAGGCCACAGGTTTCAGCCCCCGGCAGATTGAGGTGTCCTGGCTGCGCGAGGGGAAGCAGGTGGGGTCTGGCATCACCACGGACCGGGTGGAGGCTGAAGCCAAAGAGTCTGGGCCCACAACCTTCAAGGTGACCAGCACACTGACCGTCAGCGAGAGAGACTGGCTCAGCCAGAGCGTGTTCACCTGCCGCGTGGATCACAGGGGCCTGACCTTCCAGAAGAACGTGTCCTCCGTGTGTGGCCCCAGTGAGTGACCTGTCCCCGAGGGCGGCACCCACCGACACACAGGGGTCCACCTGGGTCTGGCATTCACCACCCAGACGCAGCCGTCTGCTCCCTGAGCCTTGGCTTCCCAGAGCGGCCAAGGGCAGGGGCTCGGCAGAGGCTGTTGCTACTCTTTGGGTGGGAACCACGCCTCCGCCCGCATCCACACCTGCCCCACCTCTGACTCCCTTCTCTTGACTTCAGATCCAGACACAGCCATCCGGGTCTTCGCCATCCCCCCATCCTTTGCCAGCATCTTCCTCACCAAGTCCACCAAGTTGACCTGCCTGGTCACAGACCTGGCCACCTACGACAGTGTGACCATCACCTGGACCCGCCAGAATGGCGAAGCTCTGAAAACCCACACCAACATCTCCGAGAGCCACCCCAATGGCACCTTCAGCGCTGTGGGTGAGGCCAGCATCTGCGAGGACGACTGGAACTCCGGGGAGAGGTTCAGGTGCACCGTGACCCACACGGACCTGCCCTCGCCGCTGAAGCAGACCATCTCCAGGCCCAAGGGTAGGCCCCACTCTTGCCCCTCTTCCTACACTCCCTGGGACCCTCCCTTGGCCTCTGGGGCATGGTGGAGAGCACCCCTCACTCCCCCGTTGTCTGGGCAACTGGGGAAAAGGGGACTTGCCCCCAGCCCACAGGCCGGTCCCCTCACTGCCCCGCCCTCACCACTATCTCTTCTCACAGGGGTGGCCATGCACAGGCCCGATGTCTACTTGCTGCCACCAGCCCGGGAACAGCTGAACCTGCGGGAGTCGGCCACCATCACCTGCCTGGTGACGGGCTTCTCTCCCGCGGACATCTTCGTGCAGTGGATGCAGAGGGGGCAGCCTTTGTCCCCGGAGAAGTATGTGACCAGTGCCCCAATGCCTGAGCCCCAGGCCCCAGGCCGGTACTTCGCCCACAGCATCCTGACCGTGTCTGAAGAGGACTGGAACACGGGGGAGACCTACACCTGCGTCGTGGCCCATGAGGCCCTGCCCAACAGGGTCACCGAGAGGACCGTGGACAAGTCCACCGGTAAACCCACCCTGTACAACGTGTCCCTCGTCATGTCCGACACAGCTGGCACCTGCTACTGACCCTGCTGGCCTGCCCACAGGCTCAGGGCGGCCGGCCGCCCTGTGTGTGTGCACGCAAACTAACCGTGTCAACGGGGTGAGATGTTGCATCTTATAAAATTAGAAATAAAAAGATCCATTCAAAAGATACTGGTCCTGAGTGCACAATGCTCTAGCCTGCTGGGGTGGTGGCTGTGCTGCACCCACTCTGCGCCTCCCCTACACACCACCTTCCTCCACAGCCTCCACCCCTGCCTCACCCACCTGCGTGCCACAGTGGCTTCTAGAAACCCCTGAACTCCCTGCAGCTGCTCACAGCAGGCTGACCTCAGACTTGCCATTCCTCCTACTGCTTCCAGGAAGAAAGCTGAAAGCAAGGCCACACGTATACAGGCAGCACACAGGCATGTGTGGACACACATGGACAGACACAGATACACACAGACACATGGACACACAGAGATGTGCTAACCCATGGGCACACACATACACAGACATGGACACACGCATACACAAACATACGTGGACACACATGTACAACCATGCACAGGCACACAAAGAGAACACTACAGGCACACACACATGGACACACGGACGTATGCACACATGGACACATACATGTGCAGGACGTGCACACACACAGACACACTAGCAGAGGCATACACCCACAGACACACATCCACACACAGGTGCATGCACACACACACGTACAGACACAAGTACATGGACACGTGCACACACACAGACACACCGACACAGACACGCAGGAGCACGTGCATACACTAACACGTGGACACACGCGTGTCTACCCACAGGCACACAACAGACGGACACGTGCACACAGACATGCACACACCCACAGATACAACATGTGCACATGCTGGCCAGCCTCCGCCCGCATTCTCCCGGTGCCCTGTCATACACTCTGTCCCTGCAGCAGTTTGCTCTCTGTGCTATGCTGGCCCCGGGGCTTTGGGCCCAGGCTCTGCTTGTCCTTCCGTCTCTGCTTGGAGGTGCTGCCGTGGCACCCAGCTTGGACTCTACCTGGGGAGCAGCGGCCCCAGGGATAGCATGTGAACCCTGCTGAGGCCAGGCTCCTGATGAAGGCAGTAGATAGCCCCACACCCACCGGTGAGCAGAACCAGGGCCTGTGCCATGTGCTGAGGGCAGGCAGTGACTAAGCATGGGCCCAGAGGGCAGGGCGGCTGCTCTGGCGGCTGCTCCTCTTACAGGAGGCCTCAGGAGATGAGCTGGAGCGAGTCTGCCCCTGCAAAGACCACCTGCTCCCCAGCCCACAGCAGGGAGCAGGCGAGGTCAGACAGCAGCAGCCCAGGAAGGACCGAGCCCAAGCAGGGAAGGCAGGGCCCAAGTGAGGTCTCCACACCCAACACACAGTGCTGTCCCTAACTGGGGAGTCCCCACCACACTCTTGGCCCTTTGGGGTCCTGGGCTCCAGGTGTCTCCAGGGGCCCATCTGTGCAGGGGATGTAGCCCCCCGAATGTCCTCATTCCACTGTGGAGCTCAGGTCTCCGTCTGCCCCCTGGGTCCTGGCAGGGTAGGACAAGTCTGCCAGGATGTCCCCACGAAGACTCTGCTCCAAAAGGGAGCTGGAGAGTCAGGGCCTTGGTGAGGGGGTGAAGATCGGGCACCTCCCAGCTTAGTCCTCCCACCTGCCCACCCCCACAGCACAAGGGCAGGGCCACACCCCCTGCTTCCCCCTCCAGGAGAGTGAGGACATGCTGGCCGCCGCTCCGCTAGGGCCCCAACCTCCGGCCCCCGCCTGTGTCTGTGTGCTGCATCCCCCACGCTCTCTCCGCCACCCCAGGGCTCCTGGGAAGAGACCTCAGGGTCCCAGCCCTGCCCAGCCTCGGGCTGTGCCCCCGCTGCATCAGGCTTTCAGGGACCCAGCCCAGACCCTGAACAGTGCCCAAGCCCCCCTGCACTTGCTCTCCCTGCCCCCGCCCCGGGTGCAGCACAGCCTCGGGGCCAAGGGTAGGCTTAGAGGATGGGCCCCAGGGGCAGGCTTTGCTGGGCGCCACCCCAGCCTGACCCTATTCCCCTGTGCTGTGTCTCCTGCAGAGGGGGAGGTGAGTGCTGACGAGGAGGGCTTTGAGAACCTGTGGGCCACTGCCTCCACCTTCATCGTCCTCTTCCTCTTGAGCCTCTTCTACAGTACCACTGTCACCTTGTTCAAGGTAGCACGGCTGTGGCACAGGGATGAGGGCACAGGGGGAGTGTGGGACCCGGGGAGCATGGAGCCCGGGGAGCAGCCTGGGCTGGACGTCTACCCCGGAGGCCCCCATACCACCCTGCTGGGTCACCTCTGCCCCAGCTCCCTTCCCAACCATGGGGAAAGCACTTCACCCTGTCTCTGTTGCCCGCAGGTGAAATGATCCCAACAGAAGAACATCGGAAACCAGAGACAGGAACTCAAAGGGGCGCTGCCTCTGGGTCTGGGGTCCCGGCCTGCGTGGCCTGTTGGCGCGTGTTTCTCTTCCCTGCCCGGCCTCCAGCTATGTGCTCTAACACAGGATTCCTTCTAGAGAGGCAGGGGCGGGCTGGCGTGCGGACCACGACGGGGGCTCCACCCCACACCGCTTTGCTGTGTATACGCTTGTTGCCCTGAAATAAATATGCACATTTTATCCATGAAACTGCTTTCTCGTGAGGGTTTTTGTTTCTTTTTCAAAACTTTCATGCTTCTCAAGGGCATCTCAAAGGCAGCTGTGGAAAAGAGCGCTGGGTCAGTGCAGGGGGTTTCGAGGAAAGCCATGTGCCCAGGAAAGGGGCCGCAGGAGCAGGTGGTCCAGACTCAGACTCGGGGCATGCCCAGCCTGATGGAAGGAGGGCAACTGAGCAGGAGAGGACTCCAGGCCTGGTCCCCCAAGCACAGCCTGAATTGGGAGACTGGGGCTCAGGCCTCGGCGGCCACTGTGTGTGCTCCACGAGCCTATAACTGCCCGGGTCACCTTGCCGCCGTTCCTAGCAAGCCCAGATAGGTCTTGGCCTTGCCCCAAACCTTCGTGACGTCTGGTGCATGCCACCAGGATCCAGGAGGCATGGGCTGAGCCCTCGAGAGCAGGTGGCCCTGTCTGCACAGTGTGGGGGCCTCTTGCACCCCACAGAAGCACAGGGGTGGGTTGGCTGCAGCCACGCCCGTGGCAGGGGTGTGGAAGTTGGAGCAAAAATTTTGGGTGACGCAGTGTCTTACTCCAATTGGGCGACTATCACAAAACACTATCGGCTGGGAAGCTTGAGCAATAGACATTTGCCTCCCACAGCTCTGGAGGCTGGAAGTCTAAGATCAAGGCGCCGGCAACTTCAGCGTCTAGTGAAGGCCAGTTCCCGGCTCAGATACGCACCTTCTCACTGCATCCTCACGTGGCAGAAGTGGGTGAAGGAGCTCTAGGGGTCTCTTTCATACGGGCGCTAAGCCCATCACGAGGGCCTCATCATTTCCCAGATGCTCAGGCTCCCAATGTTATCCCCTTGTGGGTGAGGACTGGGGGGCATGACCGTGTGGTCCTTAGGAACCATTAGGGAATACATGGTGGGGAGGGTAAGTCTCCACCATCACCCTGAAGATGGGCAGGTGGTGGTCAGGCTTTGGGCAGTGCCAAAAAATGACTCCCCAGGTTGGTAGGAGCAAGATCAAAGAACAGGGGACTTTTTCAGAGATGGCAGCCAAGCAGAACTTGGGGGCTCATGCCAGGGGGCTCACTTGGCCATGGTGCAGCCAGCCAGAGGCGACCCACAGTCCATGGCAAAGTCAAGGACAGCAGTGGTTGTGAGACCAGGCTGCAGTCAGGTGGTTGAGGGGAAAGGACCAGGCCGGAGGACTGGGCAGACCCCAAGGCCATAGAAGTGTCCTGGAGGAAGCATCCAGGATGGCATCTTGGGAGGGCTCAAAAGCTGGAGGCCCAGAAGGAGGCCATTTCAGGTTCTGAGGAGCAGCCTGGCACTTGCTCTGAGCCAGCTGTCACGGACATCTGGGGGCTGCTGGGTACAACTTGTGTCCCTCCCACTGTGCTCTCCACAAGGACCTGGCTCGCCCTTGTGACCCTGCTGGATCCCCGAGTTGGCACCAGCCCTGCCCTCAGAGAGAATGTACAGGAGGCAGGTAGAGATGCACATGTGGGTCCCTGGGGAAATCCATCCTCCGGCCGTGGGCTCCCAGTTGGCTCCTAGCCTCCAGCTCCAGCTTCACCCCATATAGTTTACCATGGGCTCAACCTCCCATGCTGGGGGAGGACGGAGTGAGGGGTCCCACACTGCCCATGGCACACCCAGGGGGCTAGGGAGACTGCGCTGGGCTCGGGCAGGGAGGCCTCGTGCAGGCCGTGGGGCTGGCAGCTCAGAACAACACCCATATCCATTAGCTGTGGCCCTGGCAACACAGCACCCCAGACTGTGTGGCTTAAACAACAGAAGTTTATTCTGTCCTGCTTCTGGAGGCCAGGCATCTGGGATGGAGGCCTCGGTGAGGCTGACTCCTCTGTGTGACGGGAGACTCTGTCCCAGGCTCTCTCCTGGCTGCTGGGCGTTGCCGGCTGTCTCTGCTGCTCCTGGCTTGTGGAAGCAGCGCCATCTTCACAGGGCATTCTCCCCACGTGCTGTCTGTGCCCAGATTCCCCCTTTTGATGAGGACAGCAGTCATATCAGATCAGAGGCTCGCCCTACTCCAGGGTGACCTCATCTGAACTTGATTGCACTTGCAAAGACTGTTTCCAAACAAGGTCACATTCTGAGGTCCTGGGGGTTAGGACTTCAATACATGAATTTATAGGGGAACACACTTTAACCCATGACACTTTGCCTCTGCTCCCCTCATAATCATGTCCTTCTCACATGTAAAACTTCTGAATCCCATAGCAGCATCTCCAAGATGGCTAACCCCTTCTAGCACCAACTCTTAGTCCACAATCTCAGCTAAATATCACCTGCATCAAGTGTGGGAGAAACCCAGGGTGAGATTCATTCTGGGATGAAATTCCTCTCCATCTGTGGACCTTTGTAACTGGACAAGAAGCTACCTGCTTCCAAAGTGCAATGATGGGACAGGCATAGGATAGACATTCCCATTCTGAAAGGTATACATCAAAAGGGAGTAATGAGCCATGGGTCCCAAGCAAGCCCAAAACCCAG